AAATTTCTCGAACTCAAACAAATTATCTTGAATACAATATAAAAAATGGCGAGATTCGTCCAAGTCCTCTTAATATAAATGGTTTCTTAAATACTAGATTATCACAAGCTGCAGATGAAGCTTGCAAATTTGTTAAAGCAGCTGAATATTATAGGAAATTTATACCAAATTTTTCTCAAATCGTGGAACCACTTAGAAAATTAGTCCCAACTACACGAACTCAGCAAAATAAATGGCAAACAACTATTGTTACATTAACCAATGAAGAAATTAAAGCCTTCGAACAACTGAAAAAATTTCTTGCAACTGATTTCGTATTGCGACTTCCAAATAATAGATTCCCTTTTAAAGTTTGTGCATTAGATAGATGGCATAAATATTTAAGTGAAATTAAATTTATACGGAAAACTGATCATAAAGCATTAACACAATTAAATCAAAAAGTTCAAATTAATAAACGACATGAAAGATGGAGATTAAAAGTTTCAGACTATGACTTCAATGTGAAATATATTCCAGGTTTAACAGATTCTATGCCTGATTATTCATCGAGCTCTCCAGTTGACGACGCAGAAGAAGATCCTAATGAAGTTTCATTTGTTATTTCGAAATCCATACAAACCGCTTTTTTAGATGTTAAAAATCATTCATCTATAGTCGCGGCTGTTCAAACTCGTGCTATGAAATTACGCAACCAAACTTTAAATGATACAACTGATATACAAAAATTAACATCGGATTCTCTAATTCCTCGTTCATCCAATTTATCATCAAATACTTCAATTACAAAGAATCGAATAATTCCATTCAGAATTGGCGAATTAATACAAACTCAAATAAAATAATGATTATGCAAAAAATATTATTAACAATATCAAGAATTATAGAAACTATATTATGAAAGATAATCTTTTAATTCGGCGATCAAAATCTTCAGCTCCTTATGTACTACAAGGTAATCTTCGAAGAACAATTCTACAAATATACCATGACACCGCAGCAAATGGTGCTCGTTTCGGAAGAGATAAAATAATACATAAAACTAAACAACGTTATTTTTGGCCATCAATGTAGAAAGATATTAATAATTATATTAAATCATGCATTCTATGTGCACAATTTAATTCTCGGCGACAAAAAGATCCTGGTATCTTAAAATCTAATAAATCTCCTGATGGAGTATAGCAATTAGTATCTATGGATTTTCATGGACCTATTACTCCAAGATCTCAACGTAGAAATAAATATATTATATTTCTTACTCATATTTTATCAAAATTCGTCGTTAAAAAGGCTGTAAGGGATAATACGGCTCAAACAACTGTTAGATTTCTTAAAGAAGATATTATTTCAAAATACGGAACTCCTCGTTGTATCCTTACTGATAATGGAACTCATTTTACATCAACATTAATGGATGAATTATTTATACAAATTGAGGCTACATATTTATATTCAACACTATATCATCCTCAAACTAATGATCAAATTGAAAGATATAATTCAACTATGGATGCAAAAATTGCAGCTTTATGAAATCTACGTAAAATCGATTGGAATGATCAATTACCATTCGTAACATTTAATTACAATTCTTCAATTCATTCTTCAAGCAAACAAATATCTTTCGAAATGATGTACGGTCGATTGCCTGTCTTACCATTTGATTATCAAGATACAAATGTTGCAATTTCATATGATTCTGAACATGCAACAAAACATAGTAAATTTTTATCAAAACTAAACGAACAAGCAAAAATTAATACTTTAAAAAAGTCAAGAACAATATAAACAACGTTATGATATTAATCGTTCTGATCCAACTTACAAAATCGGTGACTTAGTTCTTGTCAAAACAATCAACATCAATTACAAATTTTATTGTCGTTATAAAGGACCTTTTAGAATTATTCGAAAGCTTAAATCAAACACATTAATTATTCAACACCTCAAAAAACCAACATTATATCGTCATGTTACAACTGATGTGTCGTGTCCAATCTTCGAACGAATTTATTAATTGTAGAACCTCTCTAATAAATAGATCCGTTCAATTCATAAATATGTCAAATCAAATGGAACAGATATTTATTATTAGATGAACGTGATGAAATATAATTGAGCATAGTATGATCGGGAAGTGTGACTTTCCTCCACTCATTGATTGTCAAAGGCTATAATATTCAATTTGGCACATATCTATGAAGAATTTATTATTCTATTATACGAAATTTAATTATTGGATAAAATTAATCCTCAATTTATTCTTGATAGATTCTTACCATGGCACTGAAAATCAAGAAAGAAATAATACTTCGTAACATATTTTATTGACATATTGGAAAAATGAATAAATCATATATAATTTTGCTTGTTATTTTATAACATTCTAAATTTTATTGTTACCATTATGTTATTTGTATTTCCTTAGTTATGAATACAAACTATTTAATGAATTTAAACAACATCGAACAAGAATCAACTATGTGTTATGAGCTGCGTTTATAAATTGTATCCGTTTACAAAAAAAATCGTTCCTCCACATTTCATATGAATATTTGTGTTTTCTCATTATATTTGGTTTATTATTGTTATTTTATAGACCTCACTTTTTTTTATTCCTCTACTGCAAGTAAGAAAAAAACAACTGACTGTTTTTTTTTCTTATGCGCATTTTGACGACAATATGAATGATCACGTATCGCTATCACTGAAGCTGGTAGATTGACGCACGAAGGAACGAGCAAAAAAAAAGATAATTTTCTAACGAAGCAAATGTAGTATCTTGTTTAATTATCGTGTACAGCATAATCACGTGTAAGGATGAGTGTGCGAAAAGCAAATGCATATCGCTAAGATATATGTAGGTACTAAAATAGCTATTATTCTCATACAAAAAACAACGTGGACATAGAACATTAAATTCTGCTCGTTAGCACATAATTTTTCACGCGAAGACAACAAGTAAGTGCATCTATTTTGATATCAGAGTCATTCACAAGGCTTGAGCGATAAGAAACAGCAAGCTTAAAGACTTTGAAAGGCTTCAAGAGACTTCAACAACAGAAAATTCAATGCTCTGTAAAAGTTGTGCATATCAGTTTGTCAGGAATATCATGCTAAATTCTTAGAACATGAAAATTTTCGATAGAAACATTGAATATTTATAAAGTATGCCCAATATATCAACCCTTTGACATAGAAAAATAGACTATTCTATGGAACCGTCTTGAAAATTAAGAATAAACCACTGCTGTTCTCGCTGATGTCATCTATGAAATCATACAATGGGGTATTTAATTCGCTCTCAATTAAGAAGAGAAAAAAACATTTAATTTCAGAAAGAAATAGGAGACTAAGGGAATTTTAGAATCATCTAGGTATGTATGGTGTCTAGAAAGTCATTAGAGATTGAAAAATTTCTATATCTTCCTCATGTTTTAACCTAATGGGTTGATATTTTCACCACTGATAGAGAACTTTTCAATACTCTCACTCATAAGCGAAACATTGACAAAAACTGTTCTGAAGTATCACAACTGACTTCACTAAAGAAGTATGCTCTCTCGTGGGTTATGATACAAAATTTACCTATTCCCTACCCAAGAATAAACAACATGCTGAAATCTTTTTGACTACTTTTCTACAGGAGTGTTATTCGGTCTCAAATTTATTCTGCAAATTGATGTGCTGTTTCTCTATGTAAACTGAAAGTTTCAGCAATAAATAAATGAGCTTGTTGACAGAGCTGTAACACTATTTTTTCGTAACCCTTGAAAAGTTTTACTTTTGTGTTGCAGTTAGTTCTCATATTTTAAAACAGTTTTTGTCAATGTTTCTCTTATGAATATGAGTAATGCGCAGTCATCTATTAGTGGTGAAAATATCAACCCATTAGGCTAAAATATGGAGCATATATACAAATTTTTCTATCTCTCGTAACTTTCTGGACACCCTATTTAATAGAAAGCAAACAAAATTTGATTTAATTTTATTAATTTATTTTTAAATTATAAGTGTATATACCGAATTTTTATCTATCCGAGCAAACTTCCATACTACTCTGAGAAGCTATTACTTTTGATCGAAATACAAAAATTTAGTTTTCTTTTTCAGGCGCGATTAATTCAAAAAGCAACTATATGTTTTTTCTTTGATATTTTTATATGGTTAGATAGAGCTCATCGAGCTCTACAAAAATCTCTATATTGAAAACTTTTAAAACCATTTCTTTGAAGCAAAACTTATAGAAACCTACTAAATGAAGTGTGAACAAAGTATCTGCAAGAAATGCACTGGTGTCTCATATTATTGGTAAAACGTCTTTTTAGTAATCTTTTTTTCCTCTAAAATCAGCTATTACAAACTTTGAAGCATGTCAAGATATAGTTTTATTGATTACTTATTGATTCATGAGAAAAAGAGCTCAACGATCATCTTGCTGGACTTTGCACATCTGCATCACACTGCAAGTTTAGTGAGTTCATTACGAATTCTATTGTAACATAAGGATTGTTTAAATCCGAATATGACAGCTGTACGTATTAACCAACAGCCAAACAAATATCTGTAGAACGACCATTAGAGATTTGGACGATTTAAAAATTAGAGTAATTCAAGAAGCCGAAATAATTAAAGAGAAAAGCGCTGCGGAATATTTTTCTGGAAATAGAAAAAATATTAATTTTTTGTATTTCGATGATGGGTGGTGGTACCTTTGAACAATAATTTTGAAACTGGTTCGGATTACAAAACAAACTCGGTGCATTCACCTATCATCTAAAGAAAAGTTAATAAAGTTAAATAAAATAGCAAAGATATTCGAAAAAACTTTTTGGAACGGTCCTTTAGGACACACTTTATAAGAGAAAAATAAATATCAGTTACTTTATGCAATAAAACTTACTTATTCCATGTTTGAATCAATCCATAATAGAAAAGTAAATAAATTTATTTTATTTGATGAAATCAAACCTACTCAGAACCTAGTTAGTTTTGTCAATCTATAAAATACGATTAATCGAAATAAGAGAACATCACTTTTTTGTAACATCATACTTACCGGTAAAGTAATTCAATTCAGTTTATAGATCCTACAAAAACCATCGGATCCCGTACCGCATTTCTCTCAAAACCGGCCTTTTTCGAGCAAATAATTGCTGGGTGTTTATTTTAGACGTTACAAACGCAACACTCGAAATATTCTAAACCCTATGACAAAGCTCGGAAAGTATCGTAAATCATCATATTCGACAGTACCAGCAACTTAAACTATAATTAAGCTAATGTCCGCGCCAGAATAAAAGAGGGGTGAGTGTAAGCTCAATAACTCGGCAACCACAATACCTAGCTACCTGCGGTTTTCACCAATCGAAAGAGGAGGAGCGGGCACGTCTTTTTCTTCGATAATGTATAAGACGAAATTCTTTTAAAACTAATGATATTTGAAAAACATNAGAAATTTACTCAAGCACAACGTAAATGGTCTCCAATGGAACAAGAATGTTATGCATTTATTTGTGCATTAGACAAATGGCATAATTATTTAAGCGGAATTAAATTTACCTGGGAAACTGATCACAAAGCATTGACACAACTGAATAAAAAAGCACAAATTAATAAACGATGTGAACGATGGAGATTAAAAATTCTAGAATATGATTTCAAGGTGAAATATATTCCCGGTTTAACGAATTCAATGCCGGATTATTTATCAAGGTCTCCCGTTGACGATGCTGAAGACGATCCTGACGAAAATACACACCTCATTTCACAATCAACACAAACTGATATTTTCTATAATAACGAAAATTCACCCATCATCGCAGCTGTTCAAACTCGTGCTATGAAATTACGAAACCAAACTTTCAACGATATTACAGATGTACCAAAATTCACATTCGATTCTCTAAATACTTCTACTGCAGCGAATCGTTTTTTCCCATTTTCACGTGAAGAATTACTACAAGCTCAACAAAATGATAATTATGCAAAAAATATTCTAAACAATATCAAGAAATATAAAAATTATATTATAAAAGATAATCTTTTAATGCGCCGATTAAATCATCCAGCTCCTTATGTACCACAAGGTGCTCTTCGAAGGACAATATTACACATTTATCATGATACTGCCGCGAACGGTGCTCATTTTGGGAGAAATAAAACTTTGCATAAAATTAAACAACGTTATTTTTGGCCATCTATGTATACAGATATTGAAAATTATGTTAAATCCTGTATTCCATGTGCGCAATTTAATCCTCGTCGACACAAAACTCCTGGTACTCTACGACCTATTCCACCTCCAGAAGGCGTATGGCAATTGGTATCAATGGATTTTCATGGACCTATTACTCCAACCTCTCAACGTGGCAATAAATATATTATATGTCTTACCGATGTTTTATCGAAATTTGTTATTACAAAAGCTGTACGTGACAATACTGCTCAAACCGCTGTACGATTTCTTAAAGAAGATATTATTTCAAAATTTGGTACACCTCGTTGTATACTAACCGACAATGGAACTCATTTCACATCAACCTTAATGGATGCATTAATTCAACAAGTCGGAGCAACACACTTATATTCCACACCATATCATCCTCAAACGAACGGACAAGTTGAAAGATACAATTCAACCATGGATGCAAAAATTGCAGCATTATCCAATCTACGCAAAACAGATTGGGATGATCAATTACCATTTGTTACATTCAATTACAATGCTTCGATTCATACATCGACCAAACAAATACCTTTCGAAATGATGTACGGTCGATCCCCTGTTTTACCTTTTGATCATCAAGATACAAATGTTACCCTGTCGCACGATTCTGAACATGTGCGAAAACTTCGTCAATTCTTATCACAATTAAATGAACAAGCCAAAATTCATATTACTAAGAATCAAGAACGATACAAACAACGCTACGATGAAAATCGTTCTGATCCATCCTACAGCATCGGTGATTTGGTTCTGGTGAAAACGCTCCACATCCGTTCTAAATTCGATACTCGTTATGAAGGACCATTTAGGATTATTCAAATAATTACACCCAAAACATTTATCGTTCAACACGTCAAAAAACTCATATTATATCGTCAAGTTACAACTGACGTGTTATTACCAATATTTGAACGAATTCATTCATTATAGGACCTCTGTCAAAGAGCTCCATAATATCAATCTCGATATGTCAAATCAAATGGACTACTTATTTATTGATGGACGGATCCAGATTGATTTAATTTAGCATAGCATAGTCGGGGAGTGTGAATTTCCCCAATTCACTGGCTGTGAAGGGCTATTATACCCAATTTGGCAACTGTCTATTGATATTTAATTATTCTATAATACGAAATACCATTTTGGATATGTATACTATTCCATTATTCTTCCTAGATTCTTTCATGGCCACTGAGAATCGAGAGAAGAACTATTGTTTCGTACTGAAATTTTTTTATTCTTATTGACATACAGATAATGGATTTATTCACTTATTAATCTCTCACCTTTAGCAACTGTTCTCGATCATCAATTAGATAAAAGATTCTTTTTCCCTCTTTCTTTGAGAATCGAATATGTTCAATATTACGGAGATTCTCACACTTGAGAATCGATGTCTTAACATTACATGTTTTTTTTATTGTAGAATGTTGTCCGAAAAAGAATATCAAGAAACACATTTACAACTTCAACACATTTCAACTCCAGTAACCAGTAAATCTCAAAGGAATCTTCGTAAACATCTCCGTAACCGAATCAAGGAACATGACTTGGCCATGCAATTTCCTCCATTTGAACCATTACCACATATACCGTATTTCATTAATCGAATACCAACTGAAGCATGCCTACGTCAAGTTATTCAAGCTGCAACAGTATCATTGGAATTTACCATTGATACTGAATCGATTAACATATATAAGCAAACCAATCAACCCGCCCTGATACAATTGCAAATTTTCTTACCACACAATTCATCATTTGTTTTATTAATAGAAATGTATCATTTACCAAACGAAAATCATATTTGCTTTAAACTTATTCACGAATTATTTAAAATTGTTTTTTCTCGAAATAAACAACTATATATATGGGGATCAAAAAATGAATTATATCCATTTGTTACCTTTAAATTATTTTCACGTGAACACATTGATTCTTCCCACCCGATTAATTTACAAAACGAGTTTCACATTTTTTGGGAACAACACCATCCCCATCGATCATCTAACTGACGTTCATCAAATACTTCAACAGCTGCTTGCCATTGTGCAACTTGTTTGGGTATTGGATTACCTTGGTCTTTACAAAATTCTGTAAAATTCGAATTGAACGAATACTTGTCTAAACAATTTACCAATGCAAATTTCCATCTCGGTCTAGATCCAAATCTTTATCAATTAAATTCAAATGCACAACGATATCGACAACAACTTAGTACCTATGCATCGTACGATTGTTTGTCTATGCAGCGAATAATAATACAGATGCAAAACAAAAACTTTATATTTAATTCCCACTCGATCAACATGGCTAAACATAATCTATTACAATTATCACCTATTTCTAGTGATGAACATGATGATACATATTCTCCTACACCATTTAATCCATCATCAATTAATCAATCTGATTTGGTTGATGACTCACGTGCTCCATCTCTTGAATCTCTCGACAACAACGACAATTCTCATCCCCCACACACTAATTCGATCGTCATCTGCCCAACACAACGATTAGTCACATTCTCTACATCTATACAACAATCAACATTTAACGATTGGGAAACCATCTCATCCAATGACGATGATACAACTTTTACACATACCGAAATTCAACGGTCACCTTTAACTTCTCGTATATCAACTTATTTACTTCCTATTCGAGAAGAACTATCAGAAGCTGAACGACGGAAAATTCATAATCGATCATGTACAATTCGTCAAAGACAACGATATTATCGCCATGAAATCATTCGAAGAAACATAGATGGTCGTTTTACCATCACTCAAGTAAAAAATATCCTCCGACAACTTCATATTCCCTTCAATGTTGTTAATATTGCTCGATCCAACATAACACACAAATATTCATTATATATCGGACTTCGTAATCCATCACAACTTCCCGTTTATCAATATCAAACTCGTTATTTATTCACCACCGACCATTATAACGAACTTCAATCAGCTCGACCTCAATTTCGTTCATCTTCTCATTATAATCGCCATCGTCAACCTTAAATTTGATCACATCATTCATTCCACCACTCCTACGATTTTTTTTTCTTTTTCATTTCATTTTCGAATTCCATTCAACAACAAATTTTTCTGATTCTTCGTTTCCCACCAGTGCTTGCTCATTCCTTTCTCATACTTTCGTTATCTATCACTCTATAAATGCAACGTTCGCACGTTAATACATACATTATACATTTCCACCATTTAAATTACACGGTTAACTACCTCGTGTCATGCCTCAACTGTTATCTTACATTCTTCTGGTTTGCACCATGACTAACATTTGTATATCATTTCCTATAATTGGTGATGAATGCAAAGTTCATATCGATAATCGGCACTTGGAAATGAAAGAACTCATCGGTAGTCACACAAAATTTAATTGGAATAACTGGTCACATCTCAGCTCAATCTTTATTCTGATACTATTAATTTTCTTATTACTCTTGGCTTACTGCTTTATCAAACTCAAAATCTGGCCCTCCATCAAGGGACCACATGCTACTTTCCCGTCCGCACCAAGCAAAGCTTCACCGTCTGTCATTGAAAAACCATACATCATTCGCCTGAAGGATATACCTCATCCAACTCTTCCTCGATCAGAACTTCACGGTGATGATTGATATGCTTGGTGATTACACAACACTTGCACTTTCGCTTACTTTGCTTTAATACTTTTTTTCTCGAACATCTCTCATACAAATTTCTTTTATATTACTCTCCATTGCTCACTTCCTTTCTTCTTAAAAATGTTGATGTTTCACATTTTTTTTTTCAATCGGGGAGTATGTTACAGTGATGTCGCACTCGTACATACCCTTCTATTTCATTTTAATTTTTGTTTTTTCATTTCGTCTTCACATATTCTGATTCGGTTATCTTAAGAGATATGTGCACGTCTTCTGCGATTGGAATGGAGAATTTTTCGGCTTTTGTTTTTTTGTTTTTTTTTAAAAAGGGAATAATAAAGTTGGAGTAGGGGAGAGAACCCTAACAATATTGAATTGAGCTGCATGAATGGTCACTTGCTTGAATTTGTTTGCTTTTTCCCAATAATCGTGTGGTTTTAACATTACAATTTGTGATGATGGAAATTCAAACGGTGATATGAATCGACGATTAAATGTTAATTCATATGGGATAAAATCAGTTACAGAGTGAATACTCGAATTATATGCCCATACAATGGATTGCACATAAATATCCCAATCATTGACGTTATCATGATAATATTTCTTGAGTTGATCACAAAAGGTTGAATTAAATCGTTCCACTTGACCATTCGACATAGGATGGTACGGAATTGAAAATACTTGT